ACTTATATATACTTACACCGACGTAAGAATAATAATCTTACACCAAATCTTAATCGTTGATTTTCGTGAATCTAACAGTTATAATTTATTAGAAATTAGTAATTAATTAATAAATGTGACTAAATAAATTATAACAGTTAGATTCATAGAAATCAATAGTTAAGATTTGATGTAAGACTTATTATTTTTATACCGGTATAAAATAAATGATCTTGTCCACACACGCGCGCACACACTATACCCTAGCCGTTGACTTCCGTCCATCCAACGGTTATAGTTTAGGAAGTTATATTAATTAATTAATTATTAATTACACTATAAATGACAACCGTTGATTTTCATTCATCAACGGCTGAGATGGGGAGTAAGACTTAAAAGTCTTACTCTGGAGTTAAAAGAACCCTCCATATATATATATATATATATATATATATATATGAAGGTTACATTGACAATTTTTTTTTTTTTTTACAAACTGCACTATGTCTTATGAGTAAGACTTCATTCAATAGTATCCTATCGGTAAGATATAATATAGTTTGTAAATAAAAAATTTGTAAATATAACCTTCCTATATATATATATGGGTAGGATCCTTTGATATTAGTGTCAAATTTAAAGTTTGACACCTTATCTGAAAGTTATTAGGTAAAAAAAGATCAATGATGTCATATGCTTACAAATCAGAGTTTTTGATTTTTTTTAATATAATAACTCTCAGATAAATTTGACATTAATATCAAAAAAATCCTATGCATATATATATATATATATATATATATATATATATATATATATATATATATATGATGATGTCGACGACGACGTCCACGACATGACCGTGGCACTTGTGATGCATTATTAAAAGAATGTATTTCATTTTTCAAAATAAATGTATAAAAACTTTTGTAGTGTCAATGAATAATATTGTTCAGCTTATTTAAGAATCAATTACGAAGTTATACCAAAATCTTCATTATTAAAATGATTTGTAACATTGTTTACCAAAAAAAAAAAAAAATGATTTGTAACATTTTCTTATGTTTTGATAATCTAAAAATCTTATATTGCCGATTAAATTTAAATTTTTAGAAATTTTAAAATGATGTTATTTTAAAAATTTATTAATTATATTTGAACATTTTGATGTTTAAGAAAATAATTTAAATCACTAACCTTAATAAATTTTAATAATGCACTGGCATGAATAAAATGTATAATATTGTATACATCATTACATTGTGTTGTTATTTTTTAAAAATATTTTTAAGAGACATATTAATAAATTAGTTATTTATGGTGGGGAGTAGTTGGTGATTGCCCGAAGAATATGACTATGACTTGGGCCTATGAGATGGAGTGCAACTTTAATTTGATGTTTATCGACTTTGTATTCTATCGAAAGTACAAAGACAAAATCACAAAATCAAACTTATCTCGTGGTTTGCGGAGTTGATAGACACTTTTTAGAGTATTGCAATTATGCCGAGAAAAGGAACAAACTAACAGTCTTGAAGAGTAAAAGTACAAAAAAAATTCATTTTTTTACATTTTCATGAAACAATTTTTTTTTTTTTTATATCAACTCTAATTATTTCTTTCAGACAAGTAAGCTCTCTTATATATTTTTATAAGTTTCGATTCTTTAAATTGACTATGAAACTAATTTCAAGTGTGAGATAAGTTCAGAATTAAAATTTTACGCTCTTTCTTGAAAATCGCAAGCACTGAGTAATTAAAAATGATAAATGCATAGCCAAGAATCAAGATTCCCATATTTTCATCATACCAAAATTTCTGATGTAGTAGGCAACTGTAATTGAATTTCAAACTTGTCGGCAAAAATTATTTATTTTGTTGAGGTATGTAGGAAACTAGTTTTCCAAATTTATTTAATCGTCGCGAATCATTTTTGACTAAAAAACATTGATTGAAAAATTTAAATATGCTAATTAATGAATATAAATTGCTATGTTAATCTATGTAGATTAGTATTCTAACACATTCCAGATACCATACCACCTTGTATATATGATCTAATAATAATAATAATAATGTGATGAGTACGATGGAAAACTGGACGGTAGCTAATTTACAATGGTAGTATGCACATGACTTTGAAAGTTATGAAACTAAGGAATATGCATGAACAAAATGCAAATCAGTTATACAGAGATATAAGTGTGATCTACACCTGCCTATTAGCAAATTTTATACTTCACATCCTATTACTGGTTAGAACTAATTTACTTACAGTGATACATACACATCAGATGAAATTGAATTATTTGGTTCTCTCTGACGAGGGAATTTATAAGGAACACTGACCATTTTGTCATGTTTGGACAAAAAAATTATCAGATTGTCACGCCAACAGTAAATTTTGTCAAAGTGCCACGCGGCATAATTCGCTACACAGTGTAACAAAATATGCCACGTCAGAACAAAAAATGCCACATGTCAAATTTTGAGAAATTCGCTACCCTATGTAACGAATTTCTCAAAATTTGACATGTGTTATTTTTGGTTCTGTGCATTCTGACGTGACATAATTTGCTACACTGTGTAGCGAATTATGCCGCGTGGTATTTTGACAAAATTTACTGTTGGCGTGACAGTCTAGTAATTTTTTTGTCCAAGCGTAGCACTTTGGTCACTGTCCCAATCTATAACCAGATACCAAATGTCGAAAATGGGAGAGAAAGCTGCTGGCAGGGGTTGCATATATAAACATCGTCATTTTTTCATTTTAATATTTTACTAACAGCATAAACTCATACGAAAGAAATGTGTAAAAAATGTAAATAAACCCACTAATTTAGTTGGATCCTACAACAAACTAAATTTATGCCATGCACATGCTAAGTGTTATTTCCCATACTTTATTAAATTTGAGCCAAAACCAAAACCTTTTAGGAGATTTGGTATTTTCTTTATTCAATTTGACATTTGAAAAAATGAACTCATTTTGAGATTCACATGAAGTGAATGAAATGATACATAGAAAAATAAAGTCAATGCAGGAGACATCTGAAGCTGTGATGGAGACCATGACACCATTCCTCTCGGGCTTCTTCACATGCTTTCGTTATTGTTTTGAGAGTACGGAAGTAATTATCAACTATGCCAAAGAAGTGTACCTTAAGGAATTTCAAAAAGAAAGAAAGTTAAGATTCATTGCTATTTTCAAACTGTATTTAATTATTTATTGCAATGAAGAACACACATATCCCAAACCTTATATATTTCTTAAAGATACATTTGGTAGAGGAGATATTTTTAACCAGAAAAAAAAAAGATTTTCGAGAATATGCTGAGAAATTTTTTTTTCCGGATAAATTATGAAAAAATGTTTGGTAGGTCCAAAAATTTTCTGTGAATGTTGGTTTAATTATACTGATACTACAAGAAAATAAAAATACCATGTATCAGACGGTATTTTCGTTTGAAATTCTGTAGTTAAAACTGAAATGATGGGGAAAAAAGTTTTCCAAGAATATTTTCAATTTTTTGGTATCAAACGTTGAAATTTTTTTGCTCCATCCCACCTTTTCAGGATTTCTAATTTTTTTTCCATACCAAACAGTTAAAAAAAGAGACTCATAGAAACTAGAATAGGGAGGATATCTATTTGGCTCCTCAATTATGGGCACATATACATTAGCAATGAAAAATAATCGTTAAAGGAACGAAACAGAGAAAAATCAATAAGGATTGGAAGGAAACAATGAAGAATCAATAAGGACAGTGATCAGACGGGTTTAACCTTACTCAACTTGATAGTTTGAAGGGGCCACCATCTGTACTGTAGATCTGAAATTGGGCCTTTTGAAATTTGACCGATCCAATGACAAAAATAAATATATTATCGGTTTAATTCTTTAAGAAAATTATTTATTTTTCTAACGCGAGTTAAATGTCAAAGCGGGAGTAAGTGCGTTTAAATCACATATCACATGGAAAAAATTAGCACAATACAAAATGCAATGGTGTAGAATTTAAGTCGAGTACGTCTTTCATGCGCATCTTGCAGAGAGCAACATACAATGATGGAGTCAAAATAAAAAATACAGTTAGTGCCAAAAGGCTAACTGAGTAAAATTTAGCCAGTGTTAATATTATTATTTTTAAAAATTCAACCAATGGTAAGGTTATACCATATTTTTAAAAAAAAAATTATACTGTTTTTAAAAATTAGGCAACAACATGTGCATGGTAAACACATTTTAATTTTTGCACAAGTTAAGTATAGGGTGATATGCAACTTGAACACGTACATTCCCCATTTGTGTTTCTGTTGCATTACAATAATAAATAATTTGTAAAAAAATTACATAGTCGTGTATATATATATATATATGTATGTGTGTGTGTGGGGCATTATATATATAGGGCATTAGAAGGATGAAATTGACTATGTGATGACCTGATTAATGACGACGTCAAAGTGTGATCTAAACTCGAAAACAAAAATATCGAGTATTTGTACATGAAGTGGGACATGCCTGACTGAATCAATTTTCTTTATTATAGATTAAATACTAATTTCTCTTTATTTATTTATTTTTTGGTGAAAATAATTTCTCTTTATTTAAAGTGTTTGATTCCCGCTGAATGCATTCTTGGGGAGGGGGCTGAACCTTTAGCCATCACTGTTCCTCCACACTCCGGATTAGTCTCATAGCCGGCTCAAAGAGTCGAAGCTCGTGGAGATACCGGAGGGAACCAACTCGTCTCAAAAAGATAATTAGGGTTGGGTAACTCCAAAAAAAAAAAAGCAAATAAATTTTTAGTATTTGTATTGTACCTCACGTTTTTTAAGTGGAATTTTTTTTTTCTTCCCTTTTATTAATTTAGGGTGTGATGTTACCTACTAAGCCGTTTTGTTTTCATAATCAGAGTTTGGGATTTTAATTACAGTGGTTTAAGCTATAAATACAATCACGTGGTGAGACGGCAAAACTGTGAGTGACTGTAGGGTGTGTCTCTACGTCGTTCAGGGTTTTGTTTTGTTTGGTACTCTCTTGAACCCTAAACCCTTTTCATTTCATTTTGATTGGTTATTATGAGCAAGAGAGAGTTGAAGACTTTACTCTGTCGGTCTTTGCGTTCTCTCAAATTCTCTACTTGTTCACAGGACACTCTCCAAGGATTGCTTCATTCCGATGACATTTTTTTGCAGGATTCTTCGCCCCCCAACGCCGATTTATCTCAAGACTATGCATTTCTCCGCAACACTTTGCTCAATTCCACTGCCCAATGTGACCCTTCATCGCAACCCCTCGATGAGGTTGTATTGATGTCAAATGCAATTAGGGCCAGCAAGGATGGTTTTGGCATTGAAACCCAGAAATTCTTTAGGCAGTTTCGGGGTAGGTTAAGCGAATCTTTGGTGGTTCAGGTGATGAATCATGTGAAGCAACCTGAGTTGTGTGTCAAGTTTTTCTTGTGGGCGGGTCGCCAAATTGGTTACACCCACACTCCAGCGGTGCATAATGCGCTGCTAGAGGTGCTGGGATGCAATGCCAATGATAGAGTGCCGGAAAAGTTCTTATTGGAAATCAGGGATGATGACAAGGAACTGCTTCACAAGTTGCTCAATGTTCTGATTCAAAAGTGTTGCCGGAATGGGTTGTGGAATATGGCGTTGGAAGAGTTAGGGAGGCTGAAGGATTTTGGGTACAAGCCTTCTCGAACCACCTATAATGCTTTGATTCAAGTTTTTCTTAAAGCTGACAATTTAGCTACGGCTTATCTGGTTCAGAAAGAGATGTCAAATTCTGGGTTTGTTATGGATGCGTATACTCTGAGTTGTTTTGCCTATTCCCTGTGCAAAGCAGGGAGGTGCAGGGATGCTCTGACTTTGATTGAGGAGGAGGAGTTTGTGCCTGATACAGTTTTTTATAATAGAATGATTTCTGGGTTATGTGCAGCTTCACTTTTTGAAGAAGCTATGGATATCTTAAACAGTATGCGGTCTAATTCCTGCATTCCCAATGTTGTCACTTATAGGATTTTGCTTTCTGGTAGTTTGAGAAAAGGACAGCTGGGAAGGTGTAAGAGAATTCTTAGTATGATGATTACGGAAGGCTGTTATCCAAATCGTGAGATGTTTAATTCTCTTGTACATGCTTATTGCAAATCTAGGGATTACTCATATGCATATAAGTTGTTTAAGAAAATGCTAAAATGTGGGTGCCGACCAGGCTATCTGCTTTATAATATATTCATTGGTAGTATATGTAGCAATGAGGAACTGCCTAGCTCAGATGTGTTAGAATTGGCTGAAAAAGCTTACAGTGAGATGCTTGATTCAGGGGTTGTATTAAATAAAGTCAATGTCAGCAATTTTGCTCGGTGTCTTTGTGGAGCTGGCAAGTTTGATAAAGCCTTTAAGATTATATGCGAAATGATGAGCAAGGGTTTCATTCCCGATGATAGTACATATTCTAAAGTGTTTGGTTTCCTTTGTGATGCCTCCAAGGTAGAGAAGGCCTTTTTGTTATTTGAAGAAATGAAAAGGAATGGCATTGTTCCCAGTGTTTACACCTATACTATTTTAATTGATAGCTTTTGCAAAGCTGGTCTCATTCAACAGGCTCGCAAATGGTTTGATGAAATGCTAAGGGATGGTTGCACCCCAAATGTGGTGACTTACACTGCTATCATTCATGCATACCTGAAAGCAAGAAAGGTGCTTGATGCAAATAAATTGTTTGAGATGATGTTGCTTGAAGGTTGCAAGCCTAATGTTGTTACATATACCGCTTTAATCGATGGTCATTGTAAGGCTGGGCAGATTGAAAAAGCTTGCCAGATCTATGCTAGAATGCGGGGTGACATAGAAACCTCTGATATGGATATGTATTTTAAGCTAGATGACAATTGTAAAGGACCAAATGTTATTACATATGGGGCTTTGGTGGATGGTTTATGCAAAGCAAACAGGGTTAAAGAGGCCCGTGAATTATTGGATACCATGTCAGTTAATGGTTGTGAGCCTAACCAAATAGTGTATGATGCTCTTATAGATGGGTTTTGCAAGACCGGAAAGATTGAGGATGCACAAGAGGTGCTTGCAAAGATGTTAGAGCGTGGACACAGTCCAAATTTGTATACTTACAGCTCTTTAATTGATAGTCTGTTCAAAGATAGACGATTGGATCTTGTTTTAAAAGTGTTGTCGAAGATGTTAGAGAATTCTTGTGCTCCCAATGTTGTTATTTACACAGAGATGATTGACGGCCTTTGTAAAGTTGGAAAGACGGATGAAGCTTACAAGCTCATGCTTAAGATGGAAGAAAAGGGCTGTTGTCCAAATGTTGTAACTTATACTGCAATGATTGATGGCTTGGGGAAATTAGGAAAAATTGAACAGTGTCTTGAGCTATTTAGAGATATGTGCTCAAAGGGTTGTGCTCCAAACTTTATAACCTATAGGGTCTTGATAAATCATTGTTGTTCCACTGGCCTTCTTGATGAGGCTCACAGACTTTTAGATGAAATGAAACAAACGTATTGGCCAAGGCATATATCAAGTCACCGTAAAATTATTGAGGGCTTTAACCGGGAGTTTATAACCTCTGTTGGGCTTTTAGATGAGTTGAGTGAGAATGAATCAGTTCCTGTTGATTCTTTGTACATAATTTTGATTGATAATTTTATCAAGGCTGGAAGACTGGAAGTTGCCTTGAATCTGCTTGAAGAGATTTCATCATCTCCAAGCCTTGCAGTTGCCAACAAATATCTTTATACTTCTTTAATTGAGAGTCTCTCAAGTGCAAATAAGGTCGATAAAGCCTTAGAGCTGTACGCAAGCATGATAAATAAGAATGTTGTGCCGGAGCTCAGCACATTTGTCCACCTCATCAAAGGCCTTACCAGGGTTGATAAGTGGCAAGAAGCGCTGCAATTATCAGACAGTATATGCCAAATGGTTTGTCACGCTTTCTCTAACTTTATGAATTATGAAATAATACAAGAATACTTTTTCCATGACATTTTGCTGAGTTATTTTAATGTCAACTTTTAGCACTTCCTTTACACATTTAGGTAGTGTTTGGCACGCAGACTGAACAGAATGAAACATTCTGTTCTCTTCTTGGTTCGATCCCTTTTAGTATAACCAAATGTTTTACTTTTTAACCCGATGTCATGTTCTGTTCTATTTTTAAAATGCACCAAACATAGAATAGAACTTATATGTTATGTTCCGTCCTGTTCTAACATGTCTACTAAACTCTACCTTTGTAGTAAAAATATGCTTCAAACTTTAACTTGGAATAGTATTCCTAACAAAACTGCTCTGTAGCTGTACTAGACCCTTGTTTATTATTTTGGCATAATTATTCTGACCCCCCTCTTTTCTTTTTTTTCTTTTCTTTTAAATTCATTGTTATCATTGCAGGATATCCACTGGCTTCATGAAGAAGCAACCAGTATAAATTAGATTTCTGACATACAGATTAAATATAACCGAAGAAAAATTAATACAGGTACAAGAGAAGAAATGGCCAAGCTGGTAAGTGATTGCTCTCTCCTAATCTCTAGTGTTTTGGGATGCCTTTCATTTGTTATTGATTTTTATCTATGCTGGTGGGTCTTTACAGTACAGGTTATTATAACAGCAGCAACAATAGAAGCTGAAGCAGGAGATTTTGAAGAAATGTTGAAAAGATGCTCTTCTTATTCCATTATTCTCCAAGTTTCAAAATCCTGTATATTTGTCCACCAATCATACATCAGGCTGGGGTAATGATTTTATGGTGTATGATCAGGCATGCTAGTTTATGCTTGAGGTATATAAAAATACAACTTTTAGCTTGATAGCTTTTGGAGCAGAGTTACACACTCAATAATGTTTTTGTTATTTTCTAATAGTCTAGAAAGAGATAAAACTTGTATGAAGTATGACATACACATTGATTAAAGAACCAAGAAACTGATATGCCTCCAGCATATATATGATTTTAAACCAAAAAGAGAAAGAATCTTGATCAATCTTGATTAAAAAGGGCTAGAATTATTATTAAATTGATAAATCTCAATCAGATATCTTGTCACTGATTTTCTTATAATTTCGTAGGAAAACAGGACAAAAAAAAAAGCCAAAATTGGAAGTACGGGAAAATCTTTAATTTATTCCAGATTGTATCAGAGAAAGATTGGACCCAGATATATGAAGAAGATTTGATCAAGATTTCTAAGCAAGACACAACCTAATAGTCTAGAAAGAGATCAAACTTGTATGAAGTATGACATACACATTGATTAAAGAACCAAGAAACTAAGGTTGATATAATGAATTTTTGAGGAGTAGGTTGTTTGGCCTTTTTAGCAATCATTGGATATGTTCACCTAACAAGAGGTTTTTCCCCTATCATTTGCAAACAGTGCTTCGGTGCTGATTTCATTTTCGGATATATGAATGCACCGTTCTTTGTTTTTGCTACTTTACCCTCTTTGATAAATTAGAAATTCTATGAAATTTATGATTCCATACAGAATGGCATGTCATGTAGGACTTTTATTACACCAAACAATCACCTGAGCTTTTATACCAGTAAATATGCCTACTGGTTTTTTGTCAAACTAGTGTACAATTTCGTGGAATGTGGATAGTGATTATTATCGATTCGATAGAAAAGAGTGACTAGTGTGTATTTTTCATTGTGCTCAGGGTTTAGTTGTGAAGCTGGTAAAGTTTAAAGTTAAAGTCGTCTTTGTGTTATATTTTTTTATCTGTTTTTGAAGTTCAGAAACAAATAACCATTTGTTTTTTTTTTCATTATGAAGTAGCTTGGCGGCTAGGCATTCAGCTCTTTGGCATATTTGAGGAGCAAGAGGTTTGTCCAGAATCCTTGGATCAACTTTTGTCTATTCATTTGAGAGACTTTGGCACTTGCGTTCTTTTTGCAGAGTATGGTGTCTATATATATGGACTTGGTGGTCATGGGTTAGAGTTGTGGAAATAGCCTTTCTGCTTACTGTGTAGACCTGACCTCCCCAAACCTCAGTGGAAGGAGCTTCGTGCACTGACTCCCCCTCTTTTTTTGTGGTGAATATAGATGGGTTGCAGTAACAGAGTTTTTAATTTGAATTGTCATCCCTCTCATCGATGGTGGGAGAGTTGTTTTGTCCCTTCCACGTGGGTGTCATCACATCGCTCATCTTTAGGGGGTTCACATTATTCACTTGCGAAGGAATTTGAAAGTGCTTTTGAGCTTACGTACTTTCCTTTTATTTCCTTTGTTTCTTTCTTGGCTGTCTTAGTAGGACTTCTAATCCTCCGTTTTTGTACTTCTCTCTCTTTAATGAATGATGTTATCCAAAAAAGTTTGAGTCAACTCTGAAGAAAATGATTTAGAATAGGGACAAAGGAAAGGAAATGCTTCCCTTTAGGATATGTCCAGTGCACAGAGGCTTCCATGAATCTCTTATGGCCTAGCTTGTTTTGGATAGCCAGAGGCTGAGACAATTCCATCATGATTCGTTTGTAATGGAGTGCCCGGGTGAGTTTGCGAAATCCGGGGATCTGAGCTTCTGCAAATCAGGATTATGCTAATGCAGTGTGGATTTGTTCCTCTCCTTCACCATTTAAAGTGGGCAAATTGATGTGCTGTAGTATATGATGGCGAGTCGACGAAACTATATTCATGTTTCTGAACTAGTATGGTAAGTGATCTTTTTGTTTGTACTACACTTGTAATTCATTCGGTGTAAATACATACAAGGATCCTACTTGAGATTGAGTTAGGATATTACACATGTAGTTTTACCTTTGTCTCTCTGTCTCCAAAGATTAATCTTTTGTGTAATAAATATTTAAAAGTCTATTAAACGTAAGTAGTTGCTAATTAAATGTTTGACAACTTACTTTAGGTATCAAACTAGGGGAAAAAATAGTTACTCAAGTCATACTCTTATATTCGTGAATTTATGTTCAAAAATCTAAAAAAAAAAAAAGACTTTCAAATTGGGTGAACTACTGAGTTTCCCTTAGAAGTCAAGTTTACTCATTTCAAATTACTTTCCAACCTTTCTAATATCATGATTTTCACGGTTTTAGGCCACAATCCATGGTTTTTTGCCATCATGAATTCTTTCTTGTAGAAGGGGAAGTAAAATGCATACATTAGATTAGATTCCTAGAGTCGTTTATGATAAGAATAATACTGCATCTTCTTAAATCACTTCTTATGAAAAAAAAATTAATATCTTAAAATTTTACAAAATAATTAAGATTATTGAGCCAAGATTTTAATTTTTTTTCTTATAATAAAAATAGAAAGCGAATGACATAATCATGCGTCTAGAAGTCATTATAAACATAATGGAATCAAAACTTAGCATGGATTTAAGCACCCTAAGGAATCAATATGTATATAAGTAACGTGCCAAGTGACTCTAAGCATGTTTTCCAAATGATGATGCATCAAATAAGCATGTCAAAAGCCAACGAGGATATCTGCAGTTGATTAGGGATCAGGTTCTTATTGAAAGAACAGCATTTAATTCTGTCTAAATTTTTATTTAAAAAACAAATCAATAAATAAGTAGTGTTATCATTCATAATGAAAATTTGTAATTTTAATAAAAAGTCTAATTGATATGTATCATAAATGTAGAGTTTTATACTTGGCATTTATGAATATTTTGACATTATAATTATTAATTAACATTAATTCATGAATTAAAATAAAAACAATAAATAATAATGCGTTGAAATATTAGGATAAGGTGTAGTGTTTGAAGTTGTAGGTGACAAGGTGCCACAGTCCACAAGCGAAGGCACTAGAGTCTAGACTCTAGAGTAGTAAAAGTAATAGTCCTAACCGTCTCTCTCGTCTCGCGCTTCTTATGTCCATAGCCACATTTTGCGTTGATTAGGGTAGAGGCCATTGCAATACGTGAAAAGCAGGTAACGGAACCACCTTTTCTTCTTTCTGTTCAATTCGATTTCACAAAATCAGAAAAACGAAATCCTTCACGACTCCTATGTTGTTCGTCTCTGTTGATCGGTTCCACGACTATTTGATTTCTCTCTTTATGGATTCATCTTCTTCCCTTTCTGATTTCGAAATTTCGCTGCCAACAATTATTAATTATTAATCATATTATCATCGTGATGATTACAGTACTGCGCTTATTACGTTTAACTATTAATGGGAAGCATTCACTATGTGTGTATGCTTTCATGTTTGGATCTTTGATTTATTTATTTATTTATTTTTCTCGTTTTTGCAAGTGACGTGCCAATGCTCTAACTACTACTACTTCTTTTTTCTTTCTTTTTGTTGAAATTGATGGATTTGATGTTTTCATGCTTTTAGGATCATGGATTTTAGAGATGGAGCTCACAAATTGTCTCGTTGTATTGTTGCTGTAAGCGTTCAATTTCTTACATCCTTGAATCACATGTTCATGATTTAGGTTTTTGACTAATTCTTTGGAAGAAATTAGAGACCCAGTGATGTTCTGTCTGCAGCTTATTCTTTGAATTTCAAGCAATTTATCTCATTTGAATATCATACGGTAATAGACACATCTTTAAACTCCAGTAATGTGGTCACTGGTCACAAAATTAGATCAAAGCTAGCATACCGGTTATGCTCACAAAATTAGATCAAAACAAAGAGTAATGAGTAATGAAACAAGAAAAACTATCTACCTGCTGAAATTTAACAGATCTGTAGTCCATACCTGTTCTTAAAGAGTCTGGCAATCTTAATATGTGTCCAAAACTTGTAATACTACATCACTGAATATGCCAACCAATTCTAATAGAATAATAAATTATGCTTATTAAATATTTTAATATAACTTGATCTGTTAACGAGGTCCATGCAAAAGTATCAAGATTCCTATCTAAATGCATTTTATCGTTGCTTCATGTTTTGTCCAACATGTTGTTGAACGCTATGGCATTTGACATAAATTGTTAGTCTATGCACCTGAGCGCATAAAACCATTCAATCCAAAGCTGAAAGTTCATTCATTGTGTGCTTTGAGCTTATACAGATTCGTAATCTTGGGCTTCAACTACTGTGGTACTTTCTACAAATAATTTTCAGCACATGGCATTCCATATTAGCCATGGGTAATTTGTTTGAAAGCTATTTCATCTCTTATGGAGTATTGAAGAAATACAAGTCTCTTCATTTAGGAAAGCTTCGGTACCTTGCCATTGTCATAGAAAGTGAAGATGCTCATCAGACTTCAAAAGTTGTTAAACTCTTGCAGTGGCTGGACTCTATTGGTATAAAGAATGTATGCCTCTATGACATGAATGGTATGAACAGTTTGGAGAATCGGTGATGGTGAACATTCTTTTACTCAGGCCATATAATAATGTTTTCCTTGAACTCTACATTCTAGGAGTGTTGAAGAAGTCCAAAGAAGCCATATTTCAAAAATTGAAGAATGCAAAATCCATAGAGGTACTAGATATATATAACTTTTTTCCGGTAGATTGCTTCTTTCTTATTATATTTATAAATTTCTATCCTGATTTATGATATTAAATGCTTTTGACCGAACAGTGCACCTTATATGTTTTCCTTATTAATCACTTAGTTTGGGTATTTCCCACCTTCGCCTCATTTTATTTTGACTGATTCTTTCTCCTGTGCATATACGGGAGATGGGGAAGGATATAAACGAACCTCTATTTAGACCCTGAGAGATAATGTGTCCTAGACTAAGTTTCATTAGTTTACACCTGAAATTTGTTTAATAAATTTTGACGCATTTCCAATTGTCCTTTAGTCTGAAAAAGTTTCTAAATGATGGGACTTACCTACATTTGTCGATGTTTCGTCCAAGAAAATTATTGATGAGGAGATGAAATACATATTCCTGTTGATATATTATATAAGCAACGTGCCTCTCGAATCTTTAGTCTAGAGACTTAATGCATTAATTGGATGGTAGGTTGGAAATGGGAGACAGAAAGTAGGCATGAAAAAGTACCTATGAGCCTACAAGAAAATTATCTCTAAGGATGAGGTGAAAAGGGAGAGAGCACACTTTGTACAACAGCCACATTTGTTTTGCTTTTTCTTCCCCCAATAATAAAAAAAATTCTCCTTTTCTTTTTTCTCATCCAAACACGAGGAGAAAAAAAAATACCAATCATCTCATTTGCTTTCTTCTCATTTTGTCCCCACATCCAAACGATGCATTAGTATAAAATATGGATTACATCACTGTCAAGCCTCAATAGTAAATTCTACTGTTTCATCGCTTATTTGATCTGATCTAGCATTAACTCAGTGCAGGAAGTAAATGAAGCTGTCACACACAATGTTCCAGATCAGATGACTTTAGAATTTCTTTCTTATGTGGATGGGAAGGAGGCAGTGGTCAAAGCAGCTAACTTGATTTTTGTGGAGAATTTAAAACGACATAACTTGGGTGGAGAACTTGATGGTCGAATCTTGTTAGAGCCTCAACTGAATGAGGCACTGCAAATTGTTGGTTTGTTTGCTTCCTAAACCTACTGGTAGTTTAAAGAGTTGATTTCCTTGTGCATATAGCACTTATCCGACTAATAATTATCTTGTTTTACTGTCAGGTAGCAAAGGCCCTGCACCTGACCTTTTACTGATTTATGGACCTGTGAGGAGCCATCTTGGTTTTCCTGCATGGAGAATTCGGTATACAGAGATTGTGTAAGTTCTTTCTAGGACATTATTATTATTGTCATCATCATCAGTGCAGTGATAAAATTATTTTTTTTGTTCTCATGAAGTGCAACTGTGCTTATGCATACAATCTAAAAGGTGCAGTAATTGTTACATGGGCTTTCTGTTCTGTATTAGGCTTATCAGCTTGGATTAGTCTGTTATTGATTAGTTGAAATAGAAGTCCTTGTAAATGAAATTAGTTGTAAATGTAATCTTTTGAGTAGTCAGTTGATATATTTGGATCTGATTTAGTTTTTCTTTATTTGCTTTCTGTTTCTCTCCCTTTTTGTTATATTTTCTCTCTAGGGTAGTAAATCTGTGGCAACTTGCTATTCCACAGTTCTATTGTTGAAACATCAAATCTTAAAAAGAACTTTCATGCATTGCATTGGTTGTATGTGATGCGAGTATAAGAAGATCCATGTTGTATATAGCTTCTTTTTTCTGTTTTTTCTTTGAATAGATTCCGACTGATGTTTATTACAGACATATGGGATCATTGAACTTCATGAGATACGGTTCCTTAATAAAAGCTATTTACAGATTCACGAAAGTGTACCAAAATTATGGTAAGTATTCTCTTTACTGTGAGTTATTTACTGGTCTGCCATGGTTTGTCCTCCAACAATTTGGTATTTTTTTTACAGTTATATTTGTTTTAATTGCATTTTTCTTTTTGCTTCTTTGTATTAGTTTGCTAAATCTTATGTCAGATTAGCCAAAAACTAGCTCCCAGCCCGCAAGAAGAAATAAACACAAACATATAGTATAGTATATGAAAGACCTCTCTATACTATATTATATATGATGTTGTCTTCGGATGAAGGGCAGAGTTAGAACTAAGTATCGTTATGCATATTCTATGGGTAATTGCAATTTGTTTGCATTCTGTTTTTGGGGATTGCCAACAGGTACATAGGGAAGGAGTTTGAAAGTAATTGACTGTGAAAAGCTCAAAGCATAGGCGTGAAGAATAGAAAAATACGTAGCTAAATATCTTTGTGGAGGAAGTGCTTTTTCAATAGTAATGCGTAAATGTGTCATGATGAGAAATAGAATTCAAGTCATGATTTATTTTCACTATTAATTTTCAAAAAAATCGGTTATACTATCTTCACCCTCATCCCTTGTGATGTCTTGTAAGTTGCGTGTATTTTTATTTGATGGCACCACAACAGACTCGTATAGCGGATGTAGTTCATCTGTGAGCGCGGGGGCTTGTGGGTGGTGGCCGGTGGGAATGCTTTTTCGTTTTAATTTTTTTTTTTTTTGCGCAATATGGTCCACACACTTCTGCTAAATAAGGATTTTAATTGGCGCAAGTGAGTGTATCAACATTGGACACTTAGTAATATGGTCCACGCAAATATTTGAAACTAAATACATGTTTGGTTATAACTTTGAAAAAAAAGAAGAAATTTTTTTTTCTACAGTTTTCTCTTCAAATTGCCAAAAAGAATAATTCAAAAATCAAGTTAATCTAAACTAATCTAACATGAATATCGATACATAAAATGAGTTTTTATTGTACATATAAAGAGCAGGGGAGGAGTTTGAACAAATATCATGATAGAAACTACAGCGAAGAATGTTGAAGTGATAAGGAATGTTTCTCATTAAAGGAATGTTTCCTTTAATGAGGTATCTTGAATAGGAGTGCTGGTAAAGGAGAAAATAATTTTGGGAGAATTATAGAACTGATTTTGAATTGATTTAATCAGGTTTTTGGTAGCCGAAGAATTCCAAAAAAGAAATAGTTGCTTTGCAAACATGAGCTTGGATTTTTTTCTTCTAAATTTTGTTTCTTTTTGCCATCTTTATTGATAGAAAGAAAATGGGAAAATTTAATAAACTGGTTTGAAGAGTAAGATTGTTAGATTTATGTTAATTGCTCTTGCTTGCACAATCGTAAAGTTAGTATAATGTGGATTTTAATCTAATGTGAACTTTAGCAAGTATGAAAAAGAAAATAACTAAACACGTAATTTAATTCTACTAATAAAAAAAGAACATGTAATTTAAAAGAAGAAAAAAAACGTGACGTTGAAAGTAAAAACATGGTCTAGGTTTAATTTGGATACATATACAACCGAATTCTTTTGCTAAATTTTGTTCGCACATTTATTAATTATTGGATAGTCTAAGCATCTTTGTAAATTTATTTCATTAACAACGACTCTTAAATGCAGTTGAAGTTTGTTCTCGCTATTTTTTGTTTCTTTGTCATTGCTCGGTGTACTCGTCAATTAATCGAGTTTGAATCTTTTTGCTGAGACTGAGACAACCCACTTGACCCAATGTCCTTTATTGCTTCTAAATTTAACCCACTCCACTTCATTACCTGTTGCTCCTCACGTTCTGGGCTATTACCGAATTCTGGGTCTCTTGTTCGTGGGTCGGAATCCCTAGAGGAGCCTTTAGATGAAGCTATTCTTAAGAAAGAGAGTTTGCATCGGGAGGTGGGAAGTCCCAAAATTCCATCTATTGCTTCTCCTGTGGCCGAGTTTTAGCTTTATTGGAAATATTCTATGCGGTATCTTCTCTATTATTGATTGTGAGATATATCTTTATATAGATATAATTAAGGCTAAAGGATATTTTCAGTCAAAATAAATTATTTCTGGTGAGATAAAAACAATATCGTTTTGGAATGAAAATCAGGATGTTTTTGTAATTCTAATATATTGCAGGATTATATTAGCCTTTATCATTATAATTTTTAATCTTGTAACCTGAAAATGACGTGACTGGAGAAATAATTTTCTATATAATTAAAATAGCTATACAAATACAAAATAATTTAAATTAGGCTAAAACTAAGTTATAGTTTTAATTAGCCAATCAATATCAATTAATATCAACTGGTATGATTTGTCAATCAAATCCTAAGGGATGCTAATTAATATCAACTGTTACGATTTCCTAAATAAATCTTAGCAGATCTCCTAATACTCCAATGGGGTTCGAGCATTGAGATAACAAATGCTCAACTTGCACCAAAAGATAAGAAACTAACATAAGCATAGTACAAGTATTATTGGTCATTGATCACACTCACAGACGAAATATTGGTTATCACACGTGGTGTGTGGTTGAAACCAAGGGAAGCCAATAATGATTTCAACCAAATAAGCTCTGCATTTGTGGTTGTTATGGACTTCTTTAATACATTCTCTCACACCTTTGGTGAATATAATGTCATGTAAATTGAAATTTCTTAATAATCGCAAATGATTTTATATTAGACTTTTTTTGGATTTGAATTCTCTCATGTGAGAAAATGATCATGTGGTCATATTATTTGATCACAACCACTCATTTAAAAATTATACATTTTTCTCTTTCTTATCTCAATATTAATGAGTGAAAATGAGTGATTGTGATCAAATAACATAATCACATGACCATTTTTTACATGAGATGATCCAAATTCACTTTTCTTACACACTCCATCACACATTTCTATGCCATATTAAATAATTATATCACCCAAAAACTCAAATTGTTAAACGAGAGCCACATTAATAGATTTATATTACATTTTCGTAACAATTAACCTTTTGTGTATGTTATTATTGTAATCATTCGAATTTCAATACTAATAAAGAAAGCTAGTATAAAATCTTTAATGTAAACATTGCATACAAATTTTTTTTTTTGATAATATTTCAATCGGTTCATTGCTTCGCAACTAATCCGATTCAGAGTGAGTCCAGGATTAAAACTTTAAACCTTTCTCAAAGGTGATACTGGAGAGATTCGAACACATGCTCTCACTCTCACCTGCTTAACTCTCATGCGCCAACTGAGCTACCATCATTTGATACATTACATACAATTTTAATATTTTGGGTTGGATTAATTTTTTCATGTTATCAAAATTTATGACCAAGTGATTGTGAATTCGATGTGTATATTATGTTATAACAGCACACAATACAGGGATACTATTTATGTTTAGGGTTTACAAACGTAAAAACTATGATTTGGAGTAAAGTTACATGAAACAAGCTTTTGCACAAAGTAGAGTTCGCGACTTTTCAAAGTTAAAACCAAAACATGCTATATGTGGTCCTACTCTTGCATTATGAAAAGCCATGTGCGCCACAATGGCATTTGTAATTCAGAGGCGCCCAGCTTCTTTTGCGAACCGTTTGATATAAAGCTTGATCCCCAGTAATTTCAATGCACATATAATGTTTCCACTCTTATCTTTTTCCTGACCTGTTTGTAAGACCCCTTTTTTATAACTAAGAAGAAAAGAAAAGTAATTTGCGCCAATTGTGGGCATTTGTCATTGCAATGCTTTGCAGTATCACTCTTAATACTAGGAAACCCAAGAGGCTAAAAGGGTGTGTCTTAAAAAAGAAGAGGGTACCTGGTAATTACAATTAATTATAGTTATAATTCATAAGAAAAATACGTCACCTTATAAGCAGAAAAAATGGATTTTAAATAAATAATCTTCGGTTGTAATTGTAAGCAAGTTTGGTCCAAGTTGAGTTTATGGCGGGGTTAATCTGCTTCGGTGGTTCCATATACTGTCAATGTCATGTCTCTTTTTCTTATTTGTGAAGGTACCATGAATCAGTGGGCCCCAATGATTCGCCGTATGCTGCCAAAGACTGAGGACCCCGAGGCCTCTGGCTGCACCACCTTTTTATTTTTCACGTCTTATATGACCACAAGTATTGGACAAACTATTACCATACACATCCCTCAGTCTCACTTTCATCATCCTATCTTCGTTTTTTATATTCTTCAGCAATATATACTCGTTGCGCACAAACAGAAAGTTTTATGATCCTATTCTCTGCTCCTAATGTGTAAACAATCTTGGAATTACATCTGTATTTTATACCACTAGAAAATATTTGGAAAATTAAATTCCCTTTAACTTGTACATAATTCAACATCAAACCAGTTTCACGAAGTATAACATATCATATCATATATAAGGGGTGCTTGTCACGAAGTCTAACTTATCTCTTTGTGCATATATTCTCTGTTACAGTATTCCTTTTTTGATACATTGAAAAATTAAATACACAACTTATTATATACCTACCCATATCTTTCATCGTTTGACTAACCCCGTTACACTACTTGACTTCTTAGGTACTCTAGAGAACCTTGGAATATATTATCCCAAAAACTAGCTTAAAGGGTGAGAGTGCTCAAGGCCTTATAAAGGCTATATTAGTTGCACATACAACCAATGTGGGACTATATATCTCAACACGCCCTCTCACGCAAGAGCCCTTTGAACTAGAAGCGTGGAATTGCACAGGCCCAATTTTTTGTTTACCTTTTTTTGTGCTTTTTTTTATTTATTTTAATTCCACTTGAAAGTGGGAGGCCGTGAGGATCGAACTCGTGACCTTATAATCACTCAAGCTCTGATACCATGTAAAGAACCAATATAGGACTATATATCTCAACATGTACTAATTTTTTTATTGAATTATGAAATGCATTTGACTTTATGCTGAGCTACTCAAGAAACTATTCAATTGAATAATAATACATTAATTTGGCTACGCCTCTAGTCATTACCCCAATTCACATTTCATACAAGAATTAAAAACCCAAATAACCGATATTTATAAGAGGGGGAAAAAATCATAAGAAGGTGAATTTGTTTGATATTTGTGCATGTGACAAAATCTTCAGTGGGATTATTAATGGAACTGTTAGAAGCCAAATAAGTGCCGAGGAGAAAGATGCTGGGAAAGGAATATTTGAGGAAAGAGAAGTTGAATGAAACAACATGCTTTTGCTTCCTACCTCAGAATGATGGTTACGTATGCACTGTCGTTGCCTGAATCAAATGACTATGAGTTTTCTGCCCTTCCCTCTCCTTTTCTCTCCCCCTTAATAATTTCATTATGACATTTATTATATAAAGAACACTTCTATATGAATAAAATTTCTCAAACTAAGTCACCAATAAAAACTCTCAAAATAAAGATGTCATCATATTATATAAAATTATTTTATCCATACACTTATTTTTAAAAAAGTTCATATATATAATTAAATTTATATGCAAATAGATATATACGCATATATTGTTAATTTTTAATATACCCAAATTACAATCTAACAGTTATGAAATAGGTGTGTTTAAAAGAAGTAGGATTAGTTTGTTTAACTTAATATAAATGGCAATCATTTATTGATATGTGGCTGATGATATTTGCATAACTACTCGTCCAAAATAACAGGCCGTTGTAGTTTTCATATATATAATGATATTTTGT